CCATCTCCACTGTCAGGGGATGTAGAAGGGCAGCATTAACAAAGGGATAAGCACCCACCCTTGCACTGACCTGCTGTGTTCATCCAGTAGTCCTACCCAGACCAAGTCTTGCCCTTTCTGCTCATTGCTTCCGAAGCAAACCCTCAGGCTATCAGGATCTCAGGACTTCCATCTGTGTCCGACTCAGCTCCCTGTCTCTGGGATCTGGGACAGACACTGAAGCTCCAGAATATTCATGATGGCAATAGGACCCAGCAGTACTTATTTGACATTCATTTGAATCAGTGCCTGGGCTAAAATCCCACAGGTGGACAGCAGAGGTTGCATCTGCAGGGAGCTATAGGCTCTGGGATGGGTACATCGATTTCCATATCCTGTGCATTCCATTTATTTGCTAAGCTTTGGACAAATTTCATTATTAATTTGAATAGATCCCTCATTTCTTCCAGGTCTATGTTCAAATGTCCCCTTAGCACAGAAACCTCCCTTTGGCCACTTGAAATAAAATCATATTGCTTTCTCACGTGTTACTGTCCATCTCCTTCGACCCTCCACCTTGTCCTTACTACCACTTGCAATAGATTCGTCCACCGATTTGTTCTCCCACTACAATGTCCATTCCTTGAGAGTAAGGGCTCTTTCTCTTTTGCTTATTGCACTATTGTTAGCATGTCCAACATGTGAGGCCTTTATTATATGCCCAGTAGAAATATGTGGGATAAAAGCAAGACTGGGAAGAGCTTGCTCTTTGGCACACTGCCAGCCTGTCTGTAGAAGGGCCTCATTCCCAGGAGAGAGCAAGGCACCCATTAGGGTTACTTTTCAAAAATTCTTGATTTCTTTAGCCAAATTTATGGAGTACTCAGTATTAGGTGTTGAAGAGCTCCATCCTACTCTCTCAAGGCTTATCAACTGGTGGAGGATGCAGACATTTAAATTAAATCCATTTTTAAGATCCACTTCAGAAATCAGTCACTCCTGGGGGCCTTTCTTGAACATCCCTTCTGCCTCTCCGAACCTGGGTTAGGATTCTTCTTATGATTTTTCATAACATCTGTGAAGAGCTTTGTCATGGTCCATTTGGAAACCAGCAAGCACAGTGCAGTATGCTTTCTCAGCCTTTCCTTATCAGGAAAGGCTTCATTATCAGAAGGATTGTTCCTTACTCATTATTGAATATAAATGCCTGATAGATAAACAATAGTCAATAAATATGAGTCAGCAATTATTACTGCTGCCTCTGTATGCATTCAGTAGCCAGCATTATTTAGCTGTGTGTGTGAATGCATTTTAACAGTACCTGTTCTTCTGAAGGTGTGTAGGCTTAGAAACAGCTTTATATTATGTTTCGTTCTATCTTGCTATTCTCTATAATATTCTCCATTTCAGGCTCTCTTTGTGTTCTGGGAGATGCAGTCATTCAACTGGTATAGAATTTTCGCAAAGAGTTTTCGGGGGACTCCTTGTGTCCCCAGCTGTGAGTTGGAGCTCTGATTTATTTAAAAAAAATTTTTTTTGATGTGCATATGTCAAGAACTCTTAGAAGCCTGGAGTATCTATTTATTCCAAGAGGGGCAGTTATGGGAATTCTCTCAATAAATACTTGTGGGTTTGTGATATTTTGATGCTGCCACTTTGATGTGGCTGTTTTGATTCAGGGACATTTTGTCATGGCCTCGAAAGCAAACCCTTAGACATGCAGCAATTTTGTGTAGCTAAGAAATGTGCACAACAGGCACCCAGCCACATCCCAGGGCTCAGGGTTGGGTGCGTAGGGTTAACCTAATATTTGTGTGTTTTCATCTTGACGTGGCTGTTTCGATGCCTGAGGCTTTCATTACATCATATGGATCTTACCAGAATGTTTGCTTTAAATATTTGCTTGTCTCACTTGAATGCCGACCATGTGCCTGATTCAAATTTCCATGGCAGGAGGGATGCAAGCGAAGCAGAAGGGAAGGGGATCAACAATCTCAAGGGGACCCTGAGTTTTGCCAAGGGCTGGCTGAGGGAGCACATTCGCCATTGCAGAACGCATGCTACCTCTGTTCTTGTGGGATGTTTCCTGGTTTAGAGCTTCACATTACAGTACTGGCTGGAGAAACGTTTAAGAATGGAAAAAAAGATCCCAATGCAAACACAGAAATATGGTCTCTCCTTGTTAAACAGATCATTTTGATCATTTGCTCCTGCTGTCTTGCAAAAGTACTTTTCCTTCTGTTTCCCATGGTGATGGGAGGATGTGGTATTCACTGCTCACTGATCAGAAAGGCTCTGGGCCGCAGGCTGGGAGAACCATGCCCTATTTTCTTCTTTAGGTGATCTGAGGGATCATTAAACACATATGCCAGGAGTCAAAGGTTGCCTCAGACCTTGACTAGATGACGAGAAACAGAGGCCATTAAGGGGAGATTGAGAAGTGTTTATTCTGACCAATGTTTTTATCTGAGTTTTCTACCAGATCATGCAACATTATTTCCAACTTTAAAACATTTTGGTAGCAAATATATTAAGTGGCCTGTTATTAAAAACAAAAACAAAACAAAACAAACCTAAGTCATCATCTTTGGGTCCCGGATCTTAACTCTGGGACTGGAAACTCAGTTCTTGGTGTCTTGATGGAATGTGGTACCACTGAATAAGTCGCCCAAATTTATACGTCACCTTTGCCATGAACTTGTCGAGAATGGTCTCTTCCTCCCGTTCCCTAGAGAAAGGAACTCCTGGGTGATGTAACATAAAGCATGCCTGTGCTTAATTTTCACAAGGTGTAGGTACCAGGCCCTTCTTGCCACACTCCACTCAGTGAGTGAGTGGCAGAGTCAGGATTTTAAGCCACAGTGCTCTGACCCTGAACCCTCGCTCTTCCCGTTATTACCAGTCTATAGATTGTCATGGGCTCCAAATGAGGGTCTGTCCAGTCTGTGGTGAGACTATCTGGGGTGTGGGGGGGTAACACTCTGGTGTCTTGGAAGGCACTGTTCTGCCATCTACTGTCATCTATTCCGAGATGGAGTCCTGTCCTTCTAGGTATTAAGGATCCCCCCCCACCCCTCTTGTCAAATGAGGTGGTTGTAAATGGCAGTTGGCAGAAATGTATTAAGTTGTTATGTCAAAGTAAAAAAGCTGTCACCCCTCGTGCCAATGCCCAGGCTTAATTGTGGAATAGCATGGGCCTGGGCCTGTCAAAGGTGGGCAAGGAGCAGCTGCCAGGGCAGCCTGGGTCCACCTGGGGTTTGTACAGAAATGGGCTGAGCTGCAGCCACAGATGGATGGGACCAAAGTATCTCTTAGATCCCTACATATTTCACTCTGTGTGGCATTGGCCTGTGGCCAGTTTGACAGTCCTCATTATACAAGTGACCTTCTAAAAGCCCCAGTAGACTGAACTTTCTTTTAGCTGGATAAGCTAGCTTTTCCTACGGGGTGTGGTGGGGTAAGGCTTGGGTTATCAGCCTCTGTAACTTTTCTGTGTCCAGGATGGGGAAGGCTAGAGCTTGGAGGCGTTTTCATCTTGGCCTAACTCAGGCCGTGACGCTCCTGAAATCACCATTTGGCTCTTATTTAAAGAATGAAAGAGTGATTGTATGTCTTCTTCTGCAAAGTGTCTGTTTAGTTCAGATATTCAACTTCTCTAGTAATTAGAGAAATGCAAATCAAAAAGACTCTAAGATTTCTTCTCACTCAAGTAAGAATGGCAATTATCGAGAATACAAGCAAGAATAAGTGTTGGTGAGGATGCAGGAAAAAGGCACACTCATACATTGCTGGTGGGACTGCAAATTGTTGCACCCACTATGGAAAGCAGTATGGAAATTCCTTAGGAAACTTAAATTGGAACCACCATTTGACCTAGCTATCTCATTCCTCAATTTATACCCAAGGGACTATAGTGACAGAGCCACATCAATTTTTATAGCAGCTCAATTCACAATAGCTAAACAGTGGACCCAATCTGGATGCCCTTCAATAGATGAATGGATAAAAAAAACTGTGGTATATACACACAATGGAATATTACTCAGCATTAAAAGAGAATAAAATTGTAGCATTTGCAGGTAAATGGATGGAGAAGATCATGCTAAGTGAAGTTAGCCAATCCCCCAAAACCAAAGGCTAAATGTTCTCTCTGATAAGTGGATGCCTATCCATAATGGGGGAGTGGGAGTGTGGGGAGAATGGAGGAACTTTGGGCAAAGGGGAGGGAGAGGAGGGGAGGGGGCATGGGGGTATGAAAGATGGTGGAATGAGATGCACATCACTACCCTAGGTACATGTATGACTGCACAGGTGGTGCGACTCTACATTTTGTACAACCGGAGAGATGAAAAGTTGTGCTCCATTTGTGTACAATGAATTGAAATGCATTCTGTTATCACGTATAACTACTTAGAACAACAGCAACAAAAAAGAATGAAAGAGCTCAGGTTTTAGATCCAGACTATCTGGATTTGCATCTCCATTTCCTCTAGGCTTTGCAACCTTAGGCAAGTTAGTCTTTGTAAAATGGAATGGGGAATGCATCTCCCCCACCCCCAGGATGAGCATGTGGGGTCTCTTGAAAACCTGACCACAGCTTGTGGTCTTCTTTTCTCTACTGCAAGAACCCAAGGAAATGGGAGTAAAAGCACCAAGCACATAAGTGCTCCAGGTGTCCTACTGTCCTGCTTATAGGTGAACTGGAACTCAGCATGCCCTGCGTCACTCTTTTTTTGGGGGAGGAGGTGGTTACCGGAGATTGAACTCAGGGCACTTGACCACTGAGCCACACTGAGTTGCTTAAAGCCTCGCCTTTGCTGAGGCTGGCTTTGAAATTGAGATCCTCCTGCCTTGGCCTCCTGAGCCGCTGGGATCACAGGCGTATGCCACCATGCCCAGCCTCTGTCACTCTTGTTTTTATATGCCCAGCTGTGCCTGGGGGAGGCCCCTTTACCTGAGCCTCTGAAGCTGCACAGGGAGGTGCCCGCTGACTCCACTCACCACCATCCCTTCTGTTGCAGTGCCAACAATATGCCCAAGCAGGTGGAAGTACGGATGCTTGACAGCCACCTCAGCTCAGAGGAGCCCAAGCACCGATCTCTGTGCCTGCGCTTGTGTGACAAGCTGGGGAAGAATCTCCTGCTCACCCTGACGGTGTTCGGTAGGTGCCAGACGCCATGTCGCTCTCTCTTCTCGGGGGCTCTCCTGGCTCTTGCTAATTGTCAAAATCAACTTTCTGTTACCAGAAAGGGAACTGCGTGCTCTGCCCAAGGCCTGTGGCCCAGGCGAAATCTTTCCCATCACCCACTCTAGCCATTTGTTCTGCTTTGGACTCTAGTAATCCTCAAGTGTCAGGCATAGGCTTGTCCTATGGGTGTGTTAGCACGCAGATTCCCAGGCTACACTCATGGAGACCATCTGGAGTGAGGCCCTAGACTCTGCACCTTAGCAAACCTTCTAGGCGATTCCAAAGAAGGTGGTCAGTGGATCACATTACCTGCATCAAGGCCAATGGCTGCAGGAAACTCCACTAGAAGGGCTCCCAGGTGCCTTCTGCAGATCATTAACTTAGCTTCACTGGGCACGTCAGCCAATGAGAGCAGCGTGCAAGAAGCACATGGTGAAGCATTGATCTACTTCATCTTCCTCCTGGCTTCAGGCCACATGCTGGGTTGTTCTTCTGTGTGGACTGTTGCTAAAATCTTGGTCTTCAGGTTTCCAACCAGGATTTTTTTTAAAAAATGGGGATAAATGGCAGTTTCTTGCAGTGACAGCCATATCATTTCTCTTTGAAATCCCTTCCTTGTTCTCCAGCCCTCACTTAGCAACACAGAGAAGCGATGATGGCTCATCCTCCCCACCCCTCACACCCACCCACACACCCTCCATCTGTGGCCCAGTGTGTGAGCCAGTCGTCCTGGATGCCGGTGGACCAGAGTCAGGGTGGGGAATTTGCCATGGCTCATTTCACTTAATAATAGGAAAACCATAAGTGTGGTTGGATTTTCCAAGGGTTTCCCTGCAGGTAAGCAGATGTCATTCATCCTAGGACTTCAAGTTGGACAGAACCATTTCTAGCTGTAGAAGAAAACGTGACCAGGCCTTCAGCCTCATTGGTCTGTCCACATTCTGGAATTTACTCCGAAAACCTCACATCTGGAAATGCCTCCCCTCCCTTCCAGACCGAGGTGCTGTGACCTCACCTGTGGGTTCCACAGCAGTGTGTTGGGTGGGCCACCCTTGTCAGGGGTCTGAAGTTTTGCTCGTGGGGATCTGTGGGTTTGTGAGGCTAAAGCCTCCTGCCAGCATCTCTGCTGGATGGGGTTCCTCCCACAGTCTATATTTTCAGTGTCCTTGAGCTCCCATAAGACCAGCAAGTTCAAGGATCATGTAAAAGGGCAAACATGGAGAGTGAACTATGGGGAAGTTATTGGAAGCCCCCTGTCCCCCGCTCCCTGCCCCACCAGGGGACAAAAAAGGAATGCATAGTATTTTGGTCATTCATGTTCATCTTATCTGGCCTTTGGTTAAGAAGGAAGACACCTGCTTCGTGCCAAGTTGTGTGGCCAGACCTGGGCTGGGAGGAGAAGCCATCTATGCATGAACAGTCAATATCTTCAAAGATGGTGGAACCAGGTCTTCTTTTTAGCTTGCGTAAAGCCTTGAGAAGGCTCTCCTGCCTCTCCCGGAGCTGCCTGTTGGAACAGTTAGCGCTCCCCAAGGGTCTCTTGCTAACTGTCAGAATCAACTTTACTTACCTTGTGCTTTTATTACATTTTATTCATCTTCTAATAAGGCAGAGCATGAGAAAGTTGGGTATCACTGAAGTAAGCCCTAGAACTATTTATTTGACTGTGGCAAACAATAAACCCAGTCTGCCCCCCACTTTCCTTCCTCCCAGGTGTCATCCTGGGGGCAGTGTGTGGAGGGCTGCTTCGCCTGGTGTCTCCCATCCACCCCGATGTGGTCATGTTGATCGCCTTCCCAGGGGATATCCTCATGAGGATGCTGAAGATGCTCATTCTCCCTCTCATCATCTCCAGCTTAATCACAGGTAAGCCTCTCTCACTGCGGATGGACAATGGAGATTTTGAGTTGACTGAAGAATCTCAGTTTGGTTGAGTGAGCAAATGTCTGTGTCATTTCACTTTAGAGCGTCCTTTTCCCAGTCTCTGAAATGGAGATAAGCAATCCTAAAAAAAAGAGAGCGCTTGCTATTTGTGTTGGTGGACCCATCTTTCCCTGTAACAAGACAAGAAAGAAACAACTGCGTGTTCAAAGAGGGGTGATATCTGTACTGATTTTAAGTTTTGGCATGCACTTTTCTCAATTTTCTAAATTGCATTTTGTCCAGAAACTGATAAAAGTGAGAGATGGGAAAGGACACTGTATTATTTAACTTGGCATGGACGAAGGTGCGCATTAAAAATAAATGAAATGCTAGATATGAAAGCTCTTTGAGTTTCTCAGAACCAAGATATCCTTAATGGATGTCATCATGGTTGCTTTTTGTTTTTTGGCTAAAAGAATTCATGACTTTATTTGAGAGAATTATTTTCCCCCCCTCTGTGATTGTTTCCTCCTGCCACGTCCTGTTGTTCAAGCAGGGTATACGTTAGTGTTTAAGACTTGCTCTGAGTGAGGGTGGGCACCTGGGCCTTCATCCGGGTGACCTTGAGGAGTTGCCCTTCTTTCTGGACTGATCGCCTTACGAAGGGAATGAGGCTCCAGCAGCTCCAAGAGATTGAGATGCTAAGCCAAGGTTTGCTGCACCGTCTCGCAGCGGGTTGACCAGTGAGCCCACTGGGGCAGGAGGGCTGGAGCTCAGGATTGAGTGCTCAGAAGCTAACCAGGGTCTCAGCCCTGGATTAAGTGAATCTGTTTTTTACCTCCAGTGTTTTCCAGCAAACAAGAAAATGATTAAAAAAAAAAAAAAAAGAATCTTTGCTAAGAGATGACCAGCCTGGTAGGAAACCTGGCCTCCATCGCCCAGAATTAGACTGTAGGTTGTAAAGAGAAGTAGGTCGTAGGTGGGTCAACTCAATTCAGAGAAGTTTGCATCAGTGACTTCCTCCCCCACAGCAAAAGGAACAGATCCCCAGAAAAGGGCTCCATCCTCTGCCTAGTAAAAGCAGGAACTGAAACCAGGAAATGGACAGTTTGAAGAAACAACTAGAAAAAAACCCAGTGAAGGCTGGAGTTTTTGTGACTGGCTTGGAATTTTCTCTCACCTCCCTTCGAAGAGCTGAGGGCCACAGCTGGTGGCTGCTTTGCCAAATGCTCTTCAAGTCCCTCATGAGGACCGAGGATGAGGACCATCAGCCTGCACCTCAGGGAGATGAGAGAGCTGTGCTCAATCCCCGTTCTCCTCTCTGCTTCAGTGGCCAGTCATGTATTCCAAAGAGACTTTGAGTATAGCATTGGGTCGACCAACTTCTTGTTTTCCTAAATAAGAACCTTCAATAATAATAATGATAAATAAAGTGAACACTGGCAGGTACCAGCACCATCACTCCACAGAAAAGTACCTTAAGGCCACAGAGTAGAAAGGGCAGAGTGTCGGAATTTAAGATGGAATAGATTCAACTTTAACTCACGACTGTAGACCAATAAACATGTCATGACCCACCACTTGCCAACTCTGAACTGTATGATCCCTAACTCTCTCCAGTTCTCCAAGAATCTCAAAAATATCCTTGGAAAATAGAATGGTAAGTTGTAGGGTAGGTCAGCTGTTTAGTGGTTGGGGTGTAGTTGACCCCTGATGCATATGAGTAACGGGGAGCCAAGGCTTAGAGACACGTGCAGACGTGGAGCCTTAGCAGAAGCGTGGCAGCATTAATCCTTCTGGATTTCTTTTCCTCCCAGGGTTGTCGGGCCTGGATGCTAAAGCTAGCGGGCGCTTAGGCACGAGGGCCATGGTGTACTACATGTCCACAACCATCATCGCCGCCGTGCTGGGGGTCATCCTGGTCTTGGCCATCCACCCTGGCAATCCCAAACTCAAGAAGCAGCTGGGGCCGGGGAAGAAGAACGACGAGGTGTCCAGCCTGGACGCCTTCCTGGATCTTATTCGAAATCTCTTCCCGGAAAACCTGGTCCAAGCCTGTTTCCAACAGGTAACCCGAGGTTCTGATTTTTCTCTCTTCTCCAGACTTGTGAGTTATCAAGGAACTTCGAGAGAGTCCATTTCCAATGAACCAACTCTGGGTAGCAATTTTCTTAATATTTAATTATCTCTCTCCAGGCCCAGGGATTGGATGAAGTGGTCTGGGGCAGGATCTTGGGATTAGAGTCTCATGGTTTTATTGTTTTTTTTTTTTTAAACCTTCCTTTTTCTCCTGCTCTCTTAGTGTGTGTGTGTGTGTGTGTGTGTGTGTGTGTGTGTGTGTGTTGGTTTCTTCTTTGTCTCTTCCTTCCTTTTCTCCTCTTATCTCTGAGTTGTGCCTGAGCATATTTTAATCAGTCTTGTTTACAACCCTCTGAAGCCTAGCAGTTCTCAATCTTGGCAGTATAACAAAACCCCATGGGGCACTTTAAAAAAGGTACAACTACCCTGCAGAATCAGAATTTTAAATCCATCTTTAAGATGGATGGGTGGCTCAGATTTTTTTTTAAAAGCTGTGGAAATAGCACATGCGTGGATTGTGAAAAGTTTAAACCGTATAAGAGGGAGATAAAATAAAAACTAGAAGCTCCCCTCCTGCACCCTAGAGCCACTTAGGTTGAAAATTTGTTTCTTTCCATATATATGTATTTTTTTTTTGCCACATATGCATGTGTGCCTGAACTTAGAAGTTCAACCCAAGTGCAGGGTGTTACATGCACCTCTTTCTTTTTCGTGATTGTATAATATTTCTATGGTGTAAATTCCTAGAAGTGAAAATGCGCTGCCATAAATCTTGGTACTTTGAATTGGCTGGATATTGCAAAGTAACCTTACAGAAAAGGCTTGAACTATGTATTCCTGCTGACAGCACACATGAATTTTTTTTTTTAAACTGTGACTTTTAAAAACAGTTGATTCTGCCAAGTAGAACCACTGAATAACCACTGAATCAGCTGCTTAGACTCTACTGGCTTATTTTCTGTCCCCAAGGCCAGAAACTTAGGTTAGAACTTACCCGAGTTCCCAGCAGCCTAGGGAGGGGCGAGGTGATAGCCATTGAGCCTCTGTCAACCATTTCCAGGGAATCACAAAAGAAGGAACTTAGGAGACAGAAGGAAAGTCTGTGTCCCCAGTTGACCCCAAGATGCAGTTGCCAACCTCTGCTGAATCCAGAACACATGTGTTCTCTGATTTTAGATGCTATTTTACAAAGAAACGATAATATTTGAGTGACAGATATGCCCACTCTCCTGACTTGATCATTACGCAGTGTGTACATGTATCAAAACATCACATCGCAGCCCATAAATATGTATAATAATTATGTTACCTAAAAACAAAGTAAAACCAAAAAAAAAAAAATGCTAGTTTGGTGGTACATGTAGCATGGACCTGCATCCGAGGAAATCATTCCAAGAGGAGAAGTGTAATCTAGAATTAGACTGGAGAAGAGGGTGCTTTCCGGGACCCCCCACCACTGTGTCATGTGCTTGCCCAGCCGCCAGCCAGCTTAGGAAGATGAAATTACTTGCTTTGGAGTGACAGACGCAATTGGTTGCTAAGTCTATTCTGAAGATTTTGGAAGGAGCCCTCTGGAACTTCTGGGAGCTGAGCTAGGAGGAGACTCTGGAGGGTGGGAGCGTGGGAGGCACTGGGAAGGACAGAGCTGGGCCTCCCTCCTGTGCCTGCTGCTGTGCCTCCAGATACACTTCCTCTCAGTCTGGAAGGCAGGCCCACGAAGCAGTCAAGCCCTTGGAGCTGTGGTTCCGATCTTAAAATGAATTTCTGTGATGTCCGCTGGGCTCATACTCAGGCACCTCTCTGGCTGGTAGACCGTCTTTGCAGATAGCTGTCCATGGCAAAGGCCACTGTCTGTGACCCTGAAATAGAGGAATGCACTATTCTCTGCCTCACCCTGGCTTGGTCCTACCCTCCAGTGACCAAAGTCATCTGAGAACTGAGCTTTAGTCTCTAACTCAACCCAGGATTCGAGTTCCTTTCTGTTCGGAAGACCTGAGGAATAATAGTGTAGAATCCTTTACCTCATGGAGCAGATTCCTTTAGCCTGAGTAGGAGGAGGGCCTTGGAAGAGAGGAGGCCATTCTTATACAACAACATGGCCTTGCAGAGAGATGGGGCAGGAGAGGCCCCTCTGTGCCCAGGAGTCACAGCAGGAGTGGTGTGATATGCCGGTCTCCAGTGGAGCAGGCTTCCTGATCAGAGAAACAGAGACGTAAAGAGGAAGAAAGGGAGCTGTCCCCAGTGAAGGCTGCCTTACCCAAGGACCTGGCTTGCTGGAGTCAGGCCCTGGGTCTCTGAGAGCAGGGAGGCCTCTGGCTGGGTATTTAGGACTGATGGGACCAAGGTGAGGTTTCCAAGGGAGCAACTGGCAGCACAGCTCCAGTCCAGCAGGAGGCCGCGCAGGATCTTTTCTTCCAGGGAACTCAGCCAATGCCTGCGGGCCCTCTGCTCAGCATCAGATGCCACAGGAATGAGAGAGGAGAGCGCAGCTCCAGGGCTTATGCATATCCAGGGGGAGGGAGAGAGCCCCTAACACGTGTCAGGTGAATACACAGGATAGGTGCCTTCTGAGGGCCGGATGACGTGGGCTGAGTAGTCACTAGGGGAGATATTTGAACTGAACCCACAAGAAATCAGAATGAGCTGGGCCTGTGCGAGGCTGGAAGGAGAGCCTTCCGAGCTGAGGCAGAGGCCAGTGGGTGGTGTTTAGAAAGGAGAAGGGAGGCCAGCGTGAGGCCACTGTGTAGAGAAAGAGCAGGAGAAAACCCAGCACAGAGGGACCTGGCAGGCCAAAGTCAGGTGTGGGTTCTTCTAAGAGGGCTTGAGCCAGGCAGGTGACTGGTTTTCTATTTAAAATAACAAGAGGAATAAAATAATGAATCTGGCAGTCATGGAACTACAGGCAGCTATAACCGCAGATGGTAGGTAGACAAGAAGGAAGGTGAGTGAGTGAGTCAGGAGGCGTGTGTGTGTGTGTGTGTGTGTGTG